TCAAAAATATCTACTGGAGATCTAAATTAAGGCACAGATACTGGAGATCAGCAGAGGGCAGGGCTAGAAGCTCTTAAAGTAATGACGATACGTAGAACTTGGTGACTGCCATATTGAGATATCAAATATATTTTCTACAGGGGGGAAAAAAGTGTTGTTAGTACAAATCAGGAAGAGTCTGAACCCACAGGGAAACCCCCGAATAGACAATTAAAAACCACATTGATTAAGGCAATGTGTGGTTCTGGATTGGATTTGGGATCAGAAAAAGGATAGAAGTAGAAAAACTAGTGAAATATAAAGATATAAAATCTGGAAGTCAGTTAATAGTCAGGCACCAATGATAATTTTTCAGTTATAACCAACGGCCCATGGTTATGTAAGATGTTAACAGGGAAACCTGAATAAAAAGCATATGGGAACTCTACTGTCTTGTCAATGTTTCTATAAATATAAAGTTATTTCCCCCAAATTTAGAAAGATAGATAGATGTCTAGCTATCTGTATATAGATATAGCTATATCCCAACAACATTGAATAGAAAAAATGTAGAATAATTTATATAGAATGATCTTGTTTATGTAAAAGCATTCAAAATTGCTGTACATTCTATGAGTACATATGTATGTATGTAAATTCATAGAATACCTTAAAAATATGTATAACCTGGTATCATTGGTTACCTGCAGCCGAAAATAGAAGTAAAAACAAGACATAGCAAGGGGACTCAAAGGGGCCTTGGCTTTGGCCATATTGTGCACCTTCTGTAGAAAATATACAGCCAGATATCTTTTGGAATTCAGCTCAAGTAGCCACTGCCTGTCCCAGGCCTCCGTATTTCCTGCCCATCCCTGGGTGCACAGGGCTCTGGTCCAAGCTGTGCCATGCCACAGACACGGCTGGTGTGCTGGCCACCCCCAAGGGGCATCTGGGAATTTGCTTTACCCAGGTATGTGGCAAGACTCCTGCGTGCTATTAATGTGCTCTTCCCAAGATGTTAGCATCCAGGGTCCAAGTTCTTTTTCATTATTAGCAATTTTTTTTTCCATTCCAGCTCAGAAGATAAAGGAAAAAAAAAAATCCCACTGCGAAAAGAAGTATTGAAATACAAAGGATCATAGGAAAGAGCAGCTAATTGTAAAGCCCTGCTATTTGATATAATGGGTATTAACAGCTGCTGCAGAAGCAGAGATTCGTGGCAGGATTTGTTCTGGCCAGAAGGAGTGCACTGGATTTCTTCCATTCCATCACATGAAACAACAACAAAAGGGCCACAGCCCTGGGGGCCATAGCTGTGGAGTAGCACCGGGACGATTTTCAGGAGTTTAACATAGAATAATAAGGCTTGTCTGGAACCCCACTTGACGTGCATGGAATAGCTTTGATGTGTGGCTGAGGTCCTCCTGGGGTGTGTGGCCACTGTACAGCTCCTATCGCCACAGCTTAGTGAGGCCGAGGTGGGCTGGGGACCCTGTGAAACCCCACCTGGGGACCAAGAAGTGGTAGGTGATTCCTAAATCAAAATTGAGCCACGGACTCCTGTCTTTTCTCTGGAGAGTAACCCCCACGCCCATAATTTCCTCTCCTGATTTCCTCCAAGTTCTGGGATGCCTTTGCCACATGTAAAAATGTTGGGCTTGGAGACAGACCAATTTTGCCTTACTGGCGTTCTAAAAAAACGGGTTTTTAAAGAGCTCCTAATCGTGTTATATGTTTAAAATAGGTCTAAGAAGAAGGTAGCAAACAGACCTAGCCTTTTTTCAGCAGAAGTCTCCAAATGTAGCAGTGGAAACCAGCGTTAGTTATAATGAGTGTGGATGGTGCTGTAATTTGTCTAAATCAGTGGTCCTCAAACTTGGGTGAGCATCGTAATCATCCAGGGGGCTTGTTAAAGCACACATTGCCAGGTCCTGCCCTTCTGGGTTTCTGATTCAGGAGGTCTGGTTGGGGCCTAAGAATTTGCATTTCTATCAAGCTCCCAGGTGATGTCCATCTGGTCCTGGAAAACACATCTTGAGATTATTGTTCCCAGGACAATGAGGGCCCTCACTTCCCTGTGTATTGTTCCCAGAACAATGGGGCCCCTCACTTCCCTGTGCTGATGGCCCGATAAGGCTCCTCAGAGGGCACATTACCTGGTGTGGCTATGGGCCGTACTTCAAAGTGGATACAGCTGAGGGTCAGGAGTCAGGTTCAACAGAGATGTTATAAGCCAAGTCTTTAAGAACTACATTATTGAGAAAAAGAGAGATGTGCAGCACTAAGCAAGGGCGTTCCCAGCAGGGACTTGCTCT